ATGCTGGATCATCACATACAAAGACATCCTGGACTCGCATGAAAGCAGAATGTATCTCTAGACAAGACTGAGGTTGGACAAAGCAGCTTCTTACTAATATTTTCAGGCTTTGGGATTTAGACATCTCAATTCCAAGTAATTCCTACATTATGTGACCACGCTGTTTAATAATGTGCACATCTGGGCTTCTTCTGAATAGCCTGTCACCTTTCGCATCACTGAGAACAACAATGCTTTGAAAAAAAACTACTGAACCCAATCTTCACATTGCCTCATCAGCCTCATGTTCTCAAAGAGGAAGGGCTCTGAGGCATGACTGAGACATCTAGAGAGCCCAAGCATCTCCAAGACCAGAGGTGACTGAAAGAAGACCAATTTCTTGGGGAGATAAAGAACTTTCTAATGCCATTAGTACAGCATTTGTTTTCTTATACTTGGTCTACTTGAAACTCAACAATATTTTACTCCTCAGTAAATACATATGTGCCACGCTGAAATGAAGGTTTCTACATTTTTTGAGCACTCTTAGGAATTAAAAATAAACTTCATGAAGGAACAAAAAAGTGACCAATTACATTAACTGTAAGTTTCAGCTGCAGCATACTTATGTACTACAATCTTAATGCACTGCTGCATGTGTCAAGGCTCAGAAGGCAGAAGGATAAAACCTCTTCTTGAAGCATGTTCTCCCTCAGAGCTGTCTCACGTAGCATGGAATATCTATATCACAGGCAGCTTCAGCAATATCATTGTTTGTCTGCCAGATGTGTATAAATGACACGATAAGCTGACACATATAGCTACAATGAACAACACATCATCAATTTACAGCTGACTAAAAACAATGCATCATATTAAATCATTCATCTCTTAAGCAGCCGCACCCAGCACTGTTTAAAGGAGACACCTTCAACATGTATGAAGTATAGTTACAGTATAACAAGGATAACCTATAGCTCAGGTTTGTAAGATGAGACAACCCTTTTACACGTCACCACTAAAAGCTTGACAACAACGGTGGTTTTAACGCAAGGAATGCATCACTCCTGACACATAAAAGATTTTACAACCTGTCTTCAAATTCTAACAGTTTCATACCTCTGAGCGATGTCAGGTTCACCACAATGGCTGCAGTGCAGCTCTCTGAACTTCTCACACAATATTTAATTATTTTCAGAAAATCTGTTAAGTGGATTTGTTTTGGTTTTTTTCTCTCTCTCTCCCACAGCCTACCCTTTGTCTTCTCCTACTGTGTTGGCAAGAACACATGGCATTAGCAACATTTAGGAAGCTCTACTTAGTTCTATTTAACTTCAGATGGCAACATGAGGGATTGATGTTTCACAACAGGCATGGATAAATGCGCATTGTTTATACTACCATTGATTCCATACAAATATTACTCTGCTGCTTTATTTGCTAAGAAATCTAACTTATTTGAGTCTTGTGTAAGACTTATTCATAAAGCAAGTAAGGAACTGAGACCAGCTTGTTAAATTATTCCATCATCTTTCTCCACTCCAGGAAGTAACCCAGTTTAACAGAGGGCTTTCATCTAACGACTGATGCCTGGAAGCTAGGGATGATGCACAAGCAGTATAAAAGCAGAAATAACTGAATACTAAGCACAATAGTGCCCACTCTCTCTTCTCACATACACAGCATCCACAAATATACGCTCCCAGTTATAGCCAACTTCACCTGAGCAGACATTTCGATGCTGCAGACAGGCTGCAACATAAGCCTCAGATACACCTCAAATGACTTTAAACTTGTCAGGGTTCATACGCAAATAACAGTGGTGACAGTACTACAAAACAGACCAAGGAAGCTGGAAAAATACCGGAGGGTTAGGGTGTTAACCCATCAGCAGAGGATTAAACAGGATGACTGAGATAGTTGCTGCCCCCAGGTGACAGCCCCACCTCTGTAACATAGGCTGTCTCTTCCAGCAGTGGCAGTGGCATGGAAATCTACTGATAGACAAACCCAGTTCATAGTCCAACATGTTACAATTGACAAGTTGGAAAGATTCACCTGCCATACAGCCACCAATGGTGGCAAAAAACATGTGATAAGGACAAAAAAACAATAGCATCTGAGTAACCATCCCACTTACGCCATCATTAAACATGCTTCAAGATCTTGTGATCACGATGCCATAAGTTCCACCACTCCTACCACTGGCAGTGGTACTCAAACTTCAGCCATCTGTGCAACTAGTATTATCTCACACTCCAGCAAGATGGAATTGCTTGCATCAAGCATGTCCATACATCAGTTTACTAGGGCAATATACAGCAATAGCCAGTGGAGAGAAAATTCTGAGTCTGCAGACACCATCACAGAAAGTGAAATACATTCATCACAGGGACACATGATGTGTGTCCCTAAGCAGATTGACAGCACATGATCAGCTCAATTCTCTCTCTTTTTTTTTTTTTTTTTTTTTTTTTTGTTAATGGTCTGCTATCTAACCTACAGTAAAAACATCCGTTCCAAAAGGATATAGTACTTGCTAGTGTGACTTTTCAAGCCCAGGGCTAACCGAACTGAATTATGCCATGAATCACAGGAACAATATAGACCCATGTGCCCAAGAAAACACAGGAAAATGTGTAACCAAATCTGAAATGTTGTTTCTGGACTAAATGTCAGCTTACAAAAATGTAAGTCAAGACTTGATACCAAATACTTACTGTTCTTCAGCATGGATAAATGCTGCTGCCAGCTAGCTGCACATCACCTGATTGAGGCAACAGTAATGTATTCAGACTTCTGTTCTAATTCTGGCACAGTGATCGCAATTTGTTACCACTGGAAACATTCTGCCATTGCTGGGTCAAGATGGATAAACTTTTGACCTGTATTGGAGTAGTAGTTGCGTCCTGCAAAGCAATCTTGGATAAAGAGAATGAACTGCTCATGCCTGTCAAACTAAGTTCCCTTGTCAATTCTGATAGAGAGCTCAGATGTGTCACACAAGTCATTGGAGGTCACTGTGGTCTAAGTGAGAGAGAAGGACAAAATAACTTTGGGAGATCCAACTACAAGTCCCAAAATTGACACTGTCATTCAGATAGGCCCCTACAGACTACAGTAACTTGTGAACAAAGCTGATCTGAAGAACATGGACTCACCCCAAATACAGCATGTAACTCTTGTGTAACTTCTGAGCAGGTCACCTAAATTTCCAGACATCAGTTTCTCACTGCCGTGGGAAGATGTTTCAGTAAAACTCGTTATGCTATTTTGCAATCTGTTGTCCTCTTTAATGAACCTCTAGCAAGTACACAAGGCTGATGTACTGAATTCCTAAAGTTGTGAACCCTCAAAATATAAATTATGCTTTTATTCTAATAAATATGCAGTAGTAAAATGCTTAAGACTGGCGATGTGCCTGCGGTACAAGTAAAGACAAGTCATTTGACACTTAATCAAGAGTCCTGCAAATACAGGAATGTCAACAACACCTATCAGGCACATCAGGTTCCAGACACTGCTTCTAGAAAGGAAGAAGTGTTTTAAGGCTACTACATTCAAAAGCTACAGGCAAGAAAAATGAGCAGATGGGGGAAAGGCAACATTAACAGATCACCTGGTAATTCATCACTACTAAAGTTTCATCATACACCAAAGGTGGCCCTTCACTCTGCTCATGGAAAGAAAAGAAAAAGAAACAAGGTTTCCTAGTTACCTTGTCATGAATAACCAAGGCACTCAGGCATTAACAAAACTGTCTAATAATAAACAACAGATCTGATAAGGAGGCTGTGGAGTCCCCATTATGTAAGTCACTTAATAATAGGTTAACCAGATACACCAGATACCCAGCACAAGCAGCAGTGACCCCAATTAGAGGAAAGGAAAAAACAAATTAGATGATTTCTAGAAGACTCTCCCAGTCCTATTCTAGGAAGTGAGAACAAACACATGAAAGTGGGTTGTTAATGCAAATGAATAGACAATTCATTCAGCAAAGTTCACCAAAAGGAGTCTTCCCAGGAAACCACAAAACTTACCTGAAATGTATCTTAGACCCATGCATCTACAGTTCCAAACAATCAATCCATTTCCCAAAGACCCACAAACCTCTTGGTTCAGCAATGCTGGTAAACCTTCTCAGTAAGTGACACAGAAAGTGAAAGATCTAGTAAGTGGGCCTGCAGCTAAACGCCAAAAAAGAGAACTGAAGACATCAGGTAGATTAGAAACTACAGCCAGAGGCAGCAACTCATCACACTATGCAAAAACAGCAGCATTATTTCATTCTGTGATGGGTTGTGAAGCATCAGCCTGGGCAGAATATCACTCAAATATGCCTCACAGACCATCATCAATTAAACACTGCAAAACCTGTTGAATACAATATTCAGTTATGCTCATTTTTCAGAATCTTAGATTCATCTTTCCTATTTAGCACGGCTCCTTTCTTCATTCCTATCATGGGGTGCTTTGATTTTTAATTTTGGCAACCAAAATTCGATCCCAGAGCATTTTTCTCCTATGCTAGGAAACAGCACCAAATTTGGGAAACTTTGGTGTGGTAATTATCAATTCACACAAAGGGCATGTGATTCCTTCCTATTTTGCATACATTAAAAAAAAAAAAAAAAAAGAAAACTACGTTTATCATTTTCCACTTCGAAGAAATAGTATACGTATCTACACATAACCCCAGAGCAGCATTTTTAGGCTACTGGGGGTGTGGGTATACCTTCAAGTAAAAGATACACAAACTGAAGACAGAAAACCTCTCCAAGATAGCCTATAATGGCAAAGGAAACCTACCCCAAGTACAACGATAGATGCTGACAGTGACCAATTTCAGAGATTCAAAATATATATATATATATTACTCATTTACACTGGTAATGTATCCTATTCACATGACTACTGAAAACACAATAGGAGCAGTACACTGACTTAATGACAAATGCTGGTTTCATAATCAGGGTGGAGCATGAAAGCCACTATAAAGGCAGTTCCAATCTGAGACTCTCACTTGTGCTGGATACATTTGAAGGCTCTGTATTTTGAGTGAGGTAAGCACGAACTAAATATATTGAGTGTTTCCATTATCTTCATTTGATTTTCTAATTCCTACAAGAATTGTGAGTTTACAGAAAAGGTCTTTTCATCTAGTTTAAGTATCATGATATGCTTGTGAACCAATGGACAGCGTCAGCTGTATTTCAAAAAACATTCTGTGCATGAGATGATTATTGCCTGCTTTGTTTCCAGTCATTCTTCGAGACAACACCTAAGAAACATGGAACATTTACTCAATGACAACCTTCTGAAATATTTTACTCAATATGCCTTAATGGAGGGTAGCACTAGTGCTCTGTCCATTGGTGGGCTGAAAAATCTGCTCCAGAATCAATTTTCACAGTACTTGAAGGTAAGTTTCAATTGTTTTATTCACTGTGCTTCCTATAAAACAGATACGAAAAAGGGGATACAGGCAGTGATACTGCAAGGCAGATTCTGTGCTCAAATGGTTTTACCAGCTCCATAAAAAATCCTTATTAAGGATTAGTTTATGAAACTTTACTTGCATTAATGAACACTAGGGAGATAACATAACTAAGTGGGAAGTTTATAACTAAGTCCTACAAATTTAAATGCAAAAATCTAATGAATTATTTATGGCATTCAAATTTCACCTAGAATATTGCACCTGAGTTTTATAAAATAATTTTATTTCAATCAAAACAATGCATTTTCAATCTAGAATATATATAAAACACCTATAAATAAAGTAAATCAGTACAGCAAGTTTAAAAGTAAGAGGCATAGGCCAGTTTCTATGCAATCTAGTTCTATACCACTGAAAATAAGAGAAGATTCATCACTTCTGAAAGATTCCAAGAAGAAAAAAAGATATCAAACTAGAGAGAAATACCTACTTCCTGAGGCTGAGGGGGAAAAAAAATTCCAACTTCTCTACCTAAGATCTTTCCTAAACTAGATTAGAACTCAATTTAAATTCTTTTGATAGGCAAATCCTTACATACTGGTTTTTGGATTGCAAGACAAGACACGGGCACTTTTTGCTGGAGATCTGAAAGAATTGTATCTCAATGGAAAATTCAGTAGTTTAAGAACTACAGGAATACAGTTCAGTTTTTTTTATAAGAAAAAAAGAAAAAAGTCACCTAATAGAACGCAAGTTGTCTTCCCTTGGAAAGCCACCTATCAGAAATCAATTACTAAAACTTCTAGGAAACGTGATAGTAAATTCAGAACGATATTGCTTTTTATATTAGCTGTAGGCAGTTTAGGTGGCAGGACCCATTTCCAGAGATTTATGGAAATAGAAGTGCTCAAAAAATACAGATGTTTTGCATCTGGATATCAGACATTGTCAACCACCCACTCCGTATGCAGAAATATATGGCACCATAATAAATCAACAAAATAGCAGAACACGACAGTACAAAACAGGCAAAAAGTACTAAGAAAGCATTTTAAAGACCTAATTTATATTTAGAACTATTTTCATACTAACTAGCCTGATCTGCGACGTTAGCAGAATACTTACTGCATTAAGATGTCACATGAATTAAAGAAGCTTATAGCATAAACCAGATTTATTCTACTAACAAGAATTTTCTAACACAGTATTCCTAGTAAAGAGAAGAAAAGGGGAAGGAAAGGGACCCTCAGGCCCAAGTCCACAGCCTACTGAAACATGTTTTCAATAGTGTCCTGTTGGTCCTGGATCTAATAAAGCAGCAGGTGGAATACATATTGAGAACTACACACACAATGAAGCTGCTGCACTTGCTGCATTACCTGTGTTTCATAATGTAATCCAAACAAAACTTAGAAGACTGAAGTAACCTGAGTAATACTTGTAGTTGGGTGGTGACAGATGCATTGGCTTTTTCACACGTTGTATGCAAACGTCTTCATAGTACAAAACACATCCAAGTATTCAGGTTATTTCACATATTGAAGCTTCAAATTAAAAGCAAACAGCAGCTCATAGTTCTCAAATAGTTATTGTAGCTTTGTTAACATTTTTGAGAGGCATTAGCAGGCACTGTAGTTCTAGTTTAACCAGTAAAACTGGTTAACACATCACCAGTAATATCTTCAAGGAACACTCTTACTGACTGCAACAACTCTTGGTAATAATCCTCACTAGAAAACAGTTGTGGCAATTCACTTCATTCTTTTTTCCCTCCTCCTTCCCCCTTTCCCCCCAACAAAAACAGGATTCATTCTCACTTGACAACGTAATTAAGTTGTTGGACAAAAATAATGATGGAAGCATCAGCTTCGACGAGTTTGTGATGCTAATAAAAAAGATCACAGGACAATAAAGCATCTGCCAGAATGAGCATCGTTCCTTTGAGGGAGAAGACACAGCATCTACGGACATTATGTGCACCTAAATCCACAGATTTCCTTGTTGTAATTTCAAAAAAATACACAATAAAGATTTATATGACATAAGCTTTGTATTGTGTTTCCTGTCAACTAGGCACAATTCCCAACAAAAGTGCCTCAAAATTAGTTCAGAGCTACTTGTCTTTATTTTATGCTACTAAAATGCTATTTGAGAAAATGTCATCACATAATATGACATTTTGAAATGCTAAGTTCAATTTTTCTTAAATAAAAAAAAAAAGGCATTTATTTTAAATAACAATATAAAATTACTATGGTAAGCATGATGACTACAATATTCCACCTCAGTTTCAGGTTGTAGATAAATAAGTATATATTTCCTGTGTTAGAATTTTATAAATGAGAACACACACATATGTAAGAGCTGAGTGCTTGCTGCTGCAAATTAAAACATCCATTACAACTTTTTTTTCAGTGTGGTTTTAATTTCTCCATTTCACAGTTCCCTTGTCACGCTTGCATTTGTCTGAGTAATTCATGGGGATTATCATTTACTTTAATAAAGGAAATGAATGAAGAAGAAAAAGGAAGAAGTAACTTCAATACAAAATAATTTAGAGGATAAGGCATTAATCATTCTATAGAACTCTCAATTTTGGACAGAAATTTATTATCAACATCCTCCATTATGCTGATAGAGCAATTAGGTCCAGATCTCAAGAGTTACTTAAGGACTTAGGAAGCAACTTAGTTATAAAGCAAATCAAGTGCATTAGAGACCACATACAAGTGATCCCTATACTTGGATTTCTTCCCTAACAGAGTGGAATCCAGTGCTGTACCACAGTTGCATGCACAGCAGCCTCAAAAATTACAATATTTAAACAATAGGAATGTTCTACTAGGCTCTTGGGCCATGCTTTTACACAAACACTTCAGCTGTTAAACTGTGTCATAAGTTCTGGAAGGCGAGAAGGAAATCGTAGTACTCGGTACTTTTTTTCTGGTTTATTAAAAAATCATTGTCCTAAGTTACCAATATACTTTGATGTCAAAACAAAATGTGCCATATTCTCATTTGTGTGCTAAGAAACACTAGCTACTTCACACAAATAATATCATAGAATTTTAAGATGTTTCTTTACATGACACATAAGACACACATTCCTTTTCATGCGTTAGGAAACATTTTGTGTTTTAGAATTTAATCGGGTTATGGGCATCCTGTACAAGAAAAGCAGGTATCAATTCACAAACGTGTTATAAGAGTGTCACCTACTGGCAAAGTCTACTTCTAGGCAATTTCTTGCAAAACACAGATGCCATGCAACACTTCAAGCTTCACAATGCTATAAGAGATGCTACCACAGTTCTTTATGACCTGTCACAACAAAACTTAACTTAAAACAAATACATAAGAATCCTTGCTAGAACAGTTTCATTATGCTGCTGTTCTGTTTGCTTGCTTGCTAGAATGGTACTAAACAGCTGAAATAAAGTTTCAGCTTTTCATTTTGTTCTTTACCAAAAAAGAAAATCTAAGCTTAACACTAGAGGAAGTGAACACAAAAGACAAGGGAGATGGACACAAAAAAAATCTGTTTTTCCACCCAGTGAATCAACCTCATTAGCAGTTCAGACTGCACAGATTCTTCTTAAAAGAGATTTTAAAATTGTCATTTGCAACAGAAAACTCACACTAAGCACTACTCTCAATGCATTATTTTTTTCTGAACAGTTATCTTCCCAGCAGAGAGCTGCAATTTACCTACTGTAATTATCCAAAGGGCTGGAAAACAGAGCATATAATATATAATGGGAACATAACCTGAAAATAACGAGTCAAGATGATGATAAGGAACATCAGGGACTGATCAATGATGATATATCTGTCTCATTTGCCTCAGGAAAATCAAACATACTTAAAACTTAAAAAAAAAACCAAAACCTTAATACATTATTCAATGCAAAAGGCACGGCTGGGTAAAAAAAGGTAAAAACTGCTCTAAAGATCATTATTTTTTTTTACTTCAGACTACACATCTTTAGCTTAAGACTAAATGAAAATACTGAACAAATAACTTCAAATCTTTCAAACATAATTTATAACCCACAGTCTACTAATGTTTTCAAATTCTAGGTAGCAACTCCTCTAAGTCTTCACTACATCTAATACTTTATTCTTTTTCCTACTGGATTTTAAAAGAATATTTGGGGTATGTTTCACATTATAAAGCCATTAGTTTCCTCTTTTTGTTTTATATGCAGAGATTATCATTTTTTTCCTCATCACTTGAAATCTAAAATAATACATCTAGCCATTTACATGCTCAGACTATTAATAAGAACTCCTCCCAAAACAGGCAATACAGGGTTTCCCTCCTGTATCAGGTTTCACTTGGGTGATTTTGCAAAACCTAGGTCAAGTAATACTGTCATAATGAGTCAATAGAGCAAGAAGACAAGCAGCTGAATGAAGCAGATATTCAGCATTTCATGCAACACTGCATTTGCACTTTCAGTTCAGTGTTCATTATTTGTCAAAGAAGCACAAGTCACAGTTGCCTCATCACACTGAAACTTCTTACAACACTTGTTTTTTTTTCCCCCTAATACAGTGTTCTTCTGTAGTACAACTTGTGCCACTGTTATTGAGAGACATTAACAATAGTAATCTCTCACAATTTCAGTCACTTGTATTTCTTCTGGAAGCTTAACTACCAGTTATTCAACAATCTCAATTTTTATTTTTTTATTGAAAAAGAAAAGTTCATTTCCACAGACGTAAAGAAAAGCGTGAAAGAGAACAACCTGCAGGGACTAAAAAGGCTAATAATAAAGCAAAGTATCCCTTCATTTTTTTATATATGTGCTTTAGAAGAGACTATTTTGGTATGTACTGTTCTGAGTACTTGAATGCTTAACAAATTAACAAGGAATGCAAGAAGATGTATATTTTATGGTTGCCCCAGAATTCTCCTGATAAACACTGTAGAAAATGCTTCCTTTTAAAAACAGAAGAAAACAGAACTGATGCCTCACTAGTGCTTCTCCTCTCTCCTTTCAGCTTCCAAAAGAACAGGAATAAAATATATATATATATATATGCTGCTGTGGTTTTAAGTCAGGACTCAGTTGAATCACGCAGTGGCATCACAAGATATTATCAGTGCTGACACTGTTTCCAATTAATTTTCATGGATAATGAAACATCTGCATCAGTCCAGTAGTTCACAAGCTTCACTGATCTGCTGCTTCTCCAGTCTTTTTTATTGATTTGCCATTACACAGAACACCTAAAGTTTTCAGCACAAGCTAAATAATCTGTTTTAGCAAAGTCTTAGCATTAACAGATATTGACAGTATAAATTTATTTCTTGGAACAATTTACAGCCGTTTCTCACCCAGAACTGAAATGTCAAAGATCAGATTAAGGTGCTGACCAGTATTAACCAATTTCACCGCCTTAGTGCAGCTTAGAACAAAAGAATCTGTTATACATACTGAAAGCATATTGCTTCCACTGTAAATACTGTATTAATCTTCTATGACACATACATTCGCTCTATTACTTTCTTCATTGAATGCCAACACAACTTTCTTTATAAAACATATACTTTGCTTGACTTTGATTGCTAACTGCAAATCACTCCATTAAGTACTTGTAGAATAAAAACTTTGTCTGATATACATTATAATACACACTACCATTTCAGTAATGAAAGAAACAGCCAGTACCACTGCAGACAAGCTTCTATATTCCAGACTTCAGTTAACTGTTGATCTCTGCATATGAACTAGCAAACAATCCTCAGAATAATGGAGGCAGATGGACAGTTCCACCTCTTCCTCAAGCAGGCTTCACGACCTGACTGCACTCCAAAAAGGTATCTGAGCTGACCAGATGAAATGTAGTCATATGAAGCTATATAAGATGTATTCCATATTACTTGACTTTAGGTCCCTGAAAATTATGAGTCTCTTTGCACCAGGCAGAAGGATCTCGCACCACCTACACACCTAATTTAAACCACCAGCTCTCTGCCGCAGTCTTAGGCAGCACTAACCCCCCAAAAAACTCATTGTTGCTACAATGCGATAGCAGAAACTTTCTGCATATAGAAAAAAAAAAAATCACAATAATGTAAAGCATAATGAACTCAAATTGCCAGTGTTGAAATCCAAATGATGCTCAAATCTTTTTAAAGCAGCTGATGGTGATTCAAACTCACAGAAAGCAAGGTATATCAATTGTTCAAAAGACTAAAAAAAAAATAGGCGTTGATAGCATTATAACCTTTGCCAACTGAGCTTGAATTACCAGAAAAATAAGATAACTTTGAAAAACCACAAACGTCACTTTCGGTTTAAGTTAAAAATCTTAAGGTGCCAAAAGAAGAAACTGTGCCCCATTCTACCCAACAACAGTAAAATATCCTGCATACCTAGAATTGTCACTAAAAAACCCTAAAAGCAAAGTCATCACAGCATCAGCCTCCTGTATTATCACTCTTGCTTCCCAAAACAATTATAGTAAGCTTTCAACAACTTCCACATTTTACAACACATTGCTATTTATGAAATGGATCCCTTCAGTGAAGAAGTATGTCTTCTCATACTTTAAGGAAGGCGGAAAATCACACAATTAATGAAATGGTTGCCATCTCAAGTTAAGTTCAAAAGCTCAGACTGGATTATCTCTTCTACATACGTAAACAATGACAAACAGGTAAAACACTTCTAAAAACTCCCATTTGCATGTTGCAGATGAAGCAGATGTGAAAAAGTATTTTACTTTAAAAACCCAATAAAGCTCTTTTGAAGGAAGTTTACAAGCTATGTTTCTGTATCACAAGCAATGCACTTAATTCATCACTAAAGGATCTTACACAAAGGTACTACTTCATTTTCCACGTGTTCGTATCTGGCCTATTTCACTTTTACAAACCCATCCCTACTGACCCATTTTAAGTTTTATTGTTAT